TAGAGCTCAAAGAGAAAGTGCCAGTCTCATTAGGTTAAGAGTCAGAGATAAAGCTTTGAGACTGCAAGAGTGACTGGAAATTGAAAGGGGAAATCCCAAAAAGAACGGAACCACAGAGGAAGGAAACACAATATCTGTACAAAAATCTTCCTCAAACCTGACTCTTACATTACTCATGCATAGGGCAAGGTGCTAGGGAACCCGGTGAAAAGCTAGGAAGGTAAAAAGCTAGAAAATTGCTGAGCAGAGATTTCAACTGCTGTCTGGTGCTGGCAAGAGAGAATTTTGAGCTCAAATCCTACAAAATGAAATGGGCTTTGCAAACACTCCAGGCATTTCATTAAAAAATAAAATGATAGGCCTTGCCCTAAGATTAAAGACCATCAAGGATAAGGAACGTGCCCCAGGACTAAACATAGCACTAAAGATATATGTCCTAACAAAATGAAAATCAAAACCTTCAAAAACACAGATTGGTTAGGCAATTATTTCACTGCCTCTTACAATAAAAATAAGGAACGGTCAGAGGACGATAACAGAATCTAGAGTCTCTACAATAAATTTGCCATAAATAGTGGTATATAATAATAATAAACTACTAGACATATAAAGGAGAAGAAAAATGTGATCCATATCAAGAAAAAAACACAGCCAATTGAAGTAGCCCTGTACATGACTCAGATGTTGGAATTAGCAGACAAGAATTTAAAAATAATTATTATAATTGAGACTTAAAGGAAAAGATAGTCATAACAAGTTACAAATAGACAATCTCAGCAGAGAAAGGAAAACTATTTACAAATAAAGAAATGAAAATTTAGAACTTAAAGTATAATATCTGATGTGAGAAATCTACTGAATGGGGTTAACAGCAGATTGGAGAGAGCTGGTGAGAGGGTAAATGAACTTGAAGACAAATTAATAAAAATTATCCAATCTAAACAAGAAAGAAAGTGAAATTTAAAAAGAATTAGAGAGCATTATTGATCTGTGAGGCAATATCAAGTTCTAATGAACATTTATTTGGAGTCTCAAGAGAGGAGAGAGGAAAAGGTACAAAATAATGTTTAAGGAAATAATGGCCAGTTTTTTTTTCCAAATTTTTATTTAAAATATACTATCTGTGAACTCTATCCAATAAGGCTAGAAAAAGAAATTACATAAATACAGAAAAGAAAGAAATGGAACTGGTCTTTATTCAAAGACCACAAAATTGTGCATGAGAAATTATTTTACAAATTGTACAGACAACTCTTTCTATAAAACTATAGTAATCAGTCAAGTGAGGGATTCATATAAGAGGAGACAAGTAAGTCAACAGGAGAGAATAGAAGCCTAAAATTAAATCCAACCATATATGGTCAATTTCTTTTCAACAAAGTAGTCCAATGGATAAGAGAAAGTCTGCCCAATAAATGGTGCTGGAGTGAGTGGATATGTGCATGGAAATAATGAATCTTGACCCCTACCGAATACCATATACAGAAGTTTATTCCTGTATATCACAGACCCAATGGTAAAATTAAAACTCAAAATGTTCCAAAAGAAATTCCTGGATAATTTCTTTAAGAGTTTGTGATAGTCAAAGATTTCTTAGAGAAAATACAAAAAACAAAACTGAATTAAACTAACCATAAAAGAAAAAAAATATGATAAATTTCAAAATTCAAAATTTCTTTTCATCAAAAGTCATCGGGAAGAAAATAAAAAGGCATGTCACACACTGGGGAAATATATTTAAAATATATATATTTGATAAATGACATAAATCCAGAATCTATAAAGAATTCCAACATATCAGTTAGGCAAACAACCAAATAAAAGACAGAGAAGAACTTGAACAGACAGTTCATTAAGGCAAATATATTAATGTCCAATAACTACATAGAATGCTGCTCAACATCATTAGTTATTAGGAAAATATTACCACAAAGAGATAGCTCTGTACCCACATTAGAATGGGTAAAATTAACGTCAATATCTCACTCTAATCCTCATTGCCCAGCCATCCCAAATATCCCTCCCCAGGAAAAACAGTTAGCTACCCATGTACACTTCTAGAGGCATTTTATGCATGTAAAAACATATGACATATAGTTGTCTTCTCTTTTTTAATATAAATATTAGCATACATTATACCCTATTATGTACCTTCATTTATTTGAAGACCTATCCATATCAGTACAGAAAGAGATTGCTCATCATGTTTGTAACTGCATAATGTTCCATTTAGAGGTTTCAGTATAGCACTATAAAAATCATTGAATCATATGTTTCAAATTTTCAATACTAAAGAATTATTTTTCTGTTACTTTTCTCTGCCAAGCATCATTTTATATGTACATGAAAAATATAAATTTAAGATAAATCAAAGGTAATAGATAATATTACTACTACTACTATATTGTGTAAATCAGCTAACACTCAAATATCATCTAATATCTCAAAAAATAATTACAACATTCCACAGTTATTATGTCTAAAATATGTATGAAATAAAAAGTTTTCTAATCACCTTTAGTAAACTTACAAGAAAAGAGTGTAACTGACTATGTGCTGCAGACACTTTAGATGAATGAAGAATAAACAAACAAAAATGCAGCCATAAAAATCAAGGAACAGAGTATGGTTTCGAGCAGAAGTTTTGAAACTTTCAAAAAATATATAGATGCTGTTGTTGCTTTATCAAAGTAACTCAAAAGTAAACAAAATTTTAATAAATTCTTCAGTTTGTTTTATGACCTATTTTTTTCTCTCATATACAATCTTTGAAAAATATGATGTTATTATTATTTTTTTTATCTTATCCTAACCTGATTGATTGACTGAGATTAACTCCAGATTCCCTTCATAGTGAGAACTGATGTTTGATCCATAAACCCCATAAAACTGATGCTTTATGGATGTCAGCAGAAGTGAAATAACTGTAAGAATCAAACCTCCATTCAGGAATGTACTGGGCTCGTTGGCCAATATTCTCATGTCTATGGCTCGCATATTGTTTCTGTGAATGGAGACCCAAGCCTGACGCCTGAAATTAAACTGTGCCCAAGTGGCCTAAAAGGGCTAACACATTTTACAGTCATAAGGTGGATATTTTTCTAGACTGAAGACCATTGTTTTCAGTTTTTATTTTTCATTTCTTAATCTAATGGCATTAACCTTTAATTGAAAAAAGTAGGGCACGCACAGGATAAAAATATTTTCTTTTAACAAAAGTTAAGTCTTCTCCCCACTCCAGTTCTCTATTTTACTTGTCCCTTTCCAGAGCATTCACTGTTACAAACCTCTTGTCTCTACTTCCTGAACGATTCTGTTATTTGTGAACAAATGGTAGTATGCTGTCTATAATGATGAATGTAATTAACTACACAGTTGCAAAAAATCTTAGAAATGTATTCACAGGTTATAATATAATTTAAATTTCAGAAAGTGTGTTTGTGTGTCCTGTGCAGCTCAACTGTCATAACTATACATGGTACAGTACACTCAAAAGTACGAAGTACAACACAAGTGGGAGGTTTTAACGCACTGCTTTTGAGTTGGAAATGAAGCCACCTGGAGGTTCTGAGCTTAAGAGAAAAATGGCTTTCCTCCACACCCCCTTTACTTCCTGAGATGGAACTCAAGCCCTGGCTCATGCACTTCTTGGAAGGACACAGGAAAAGGCAGAAGTTACTTAGTCCCCATTGTTCTGTATCCAGACTAATACCTGACCCAATGCGTGGCATGACCTGGAGCAGAGCTGCTATAAAAATGTAATTCTCCTTTAACCTGTCCATGTAAATCATGGGAAAGCTTCCCTCCACTGATTTAAACAAATTTGGTCTTTGACCTCTGGAGTCAGAACTGGCCTCAACAACTCTTTCAGATGGTTGTAGTATTGACTGTTTGATGTATGTCAACTACCATAAAATGCAATACTATTTCATGACAGATCTTCAGATAATGCAGCATATGTCCAAAGTTGTGGTAACAGTCTCTTTATTCCAAGTAAATCAGTAGCATGAAATACTGCAGATTAATGGAATAATGCACTTTGTTGTATCAAGCTTTGGCATCTAATGCAGCTGTGATTTGCGATATTGGTCAACCAGTTGTAACACCTGTCAATGTGCTTCCTATAGAACTTCAAAAGGCTTTCAATAAATACCAAATGCTTGAAAGGGGTCTCACGTGTATAAGTAAGAATTTTTCTGGGTCTGTGACTTTTGGTATTTAACAACCAGATCAGTACAATAGTTCATAAACAAATCAGTTGCTTAATGATCTATCTGCAAACATTCAGGGCTGACAATTTGAGATACCACAGAAGACTCAAGAAATTATATTTGTTCACTTTTCTGGGGAAAAAGCGTCCTAACAATATATTGAACACTCTTTAAATAAAACGCGGACTCTAAAAGTAAAGCAAGATCTCCAATCAAAAATTATTTTTATAATTTAAGCACTAAACATTTTGTCAAGGAGTTCCCACTGATTGATATATATAAATAAAAGTATAAATATCAT